CTATGAAAATTACAGGCCTCTCTCATCTTTTTAAGTGGGAGAACTTGCACAATTGGTGGCTGACTAAATACTTTTTTGCCCCACTGTACCATTACATGGGAAGGAGGGGGAGTTGAAGTGGAGGCAGTTTGCACAGGGCAGGAGAAACTGCCGTCGCTAAGCGACATGATCATATGATGTTTTGCTTAACAACTGCTTTGCTCTACAACAGAAAGTCCAGCCCCAGTTAGGGTTGTTAAGTGAGGACTACCTGTATACTTTTTCCTGAGCTATTAACAGTATGGCTTTGATCTCATAAAACAGAACGACTTCTAAGAATCAATCTCTGAAAATCTTATTTGGTTCTTATATATACTTCAGAATTTTTACAGCATTATAAGGTAATAGCTTATTTCAATGTATTTATTTGATTTATTAAACAAATTTGTAGAGATGCCCTTCTACGAGAAGGAATTCTGAGCAGCAAATAAAACACAGTACATTACATACAAAAAGCATGTAAAACAATAAACAACACTGAGCCCCGATAAAACTCACATTCATCCATAAACCCCCACCCATGCCAGCTCCATCAACATCCTGTCCCAGTGCCTGGGGGAAAAGCCAGATTTTCATTGCTTTCCTAAAAGCCAACAAGGTTGGGGCCATCCATATCTCTGGGGAGGAGCTGTTCCATAAGGCAGATGCCATGACACAAAATGCACACTTCTGAGGCCCCAGCAAGTGATGTTGTTTCACTGACGGGACCTCAGTACGCCCACTCTGCCAGATCTAATAGGATGGGTAAAAACCATTGGGGATAGGCAGTCCCACAAATAACTTGGTCCCATGCAATGGAGGGCATTAAAAATGACAACCAACAGTTCGCATTGCACCCAAAGCCTACTGGGTGCCAGTGCAGCTCACACAGCAATGATATTACGTGGGCATACCACAGTGCAGCCACTACTGCCTGTCCAGCATTCTGGACCAGCTGTAGCTTCCAAATGCTCTTCAAGGGCAGCCCCATGGAGAGTGCATTGCAATAGTCCAATTAGGAGGTGACTAAGGCATGAGTGACTGTGAGCAATGCCTCTTGATCTAGGAAACAGCACAACTGGTATGCAAGATGTATTTGTTCAAAGGTCCTCCTGGCCACAGCTGCTACCTGCTTGTCAAGCAGAAGCCATTGATCCAGGAGTGTCATCCCAGCCAAAGATGGCAAATCACTAGACACAGGGGATCCTAAAACCCACAGCCACCTGTTCTTGTCAGGATTGAGCCAAAGCTGGTTCTTCCACATCCAGGCCCATTTAGCCTCCAGGCACTGGGAAAGCACCTTGATGGTATCACTTGGGCGGCTTGGGGCAGAGATGTACAGCTGAGTATTATCATCATACTGATGGTATTTAACCCCATGCTGATGGATGACCTCACTCAGTGGTTTCATGTAGATGTTAAATAAGAGCGGGGAGGGAGTAGAACCCTCTGGCATCCCACAAAGCAGAGGCTGAGGCTAGACCTCTTCCCTGCTACCAACACCCAATGGAATAGGCCTTGGAGGAAGGAGGAGAACCACTGAATAACAGTGCCTCCCACTCCCAACCCCCTCAACCAGCCCAGAAGGATAATATGACTGATGGTATTGAAAGCCGCTGAGAGATCAAACAGCACTAGGTTGGATACACTAGCCCTATCCCAGGTTCACCAGAGGTCATCCACAAGTGTGAGCAAAGCCATCTAGGTACTATTTTTTTTTTTTTTAAATCTGCGCTCATCCGTTACCGACTCTGCAGTGCCGGCTTG